TCTACTCACCCAGTTGCCATACTCCCACCAATTCTAATCCTACCACTAATTACTTAACCATTACTTACTTAATTGTTTCTCTTCCATATATTTTTGTTCTGCCTCCCTTACCCTTGTTTCAATCTCTACTTCAAACCTCTATTTCTCTGTGCCTTTGTTTCTAACCCTTACTCTGTGCACCCCACTTGCCCTTTTCTGTGTGGTGCATGATCCCTCCACAATATGACTCTCTTTACCTCCATTGAGATCCTATTCCTTGGATACAGCTCACCGGTTGATTTGCAGGCAGCTATTGCCAGACGGATGGATGTAGATCTGTGGTCCATACTCCACATTCAGTGCTAGTCAGAAGCAGAGCATTCAGTTTATTTAGAGCCTTGCATTGCTGAATTTACTGTGCAGCACATTTACTGTGCTGCTTTAGCTTTCTATAATAGAGTAGTAGAGAGTTCAGAAGAAGCATCAACACTACTCCACAGCCAGCTGGTGAGATTCAGGGCTAAGAGGCCCACATTTATGACTCTAACCCTCCAAGTCCTCCCAATGAGTTACAGCTATACAGAACATCGGAAATGACTGCACCACAGAGGTGAACCACCTAGAATGGTTGAATCTTCCAGCCTCATGTATATTGATAATTCTCCAAAGGCTGTATTATAACACACTACGTAACAGCAATGCACAAATAGTGTCAGACAATGGTAAACATAATTAAGCTTACCTTCCTCTGAATCTATATATGTCAAATAAAACTTTGCACAAGAATTGTATTATGTATGTGAAATAATAACTTTTCTAGACATGTTATCTATTCTGTATTTTCAGTTATCTGTTTTTCAAGGTTAAAACTAGCATTCATGTTGTTAATTTGTAAAACATGACCATGATAAATCATGTAATGAGTTTCATGTTTGGGAACTAAAGGTTATTAATTTCTCAGCCAGTGTCTAGTCCTTCGACAGTTCAATAAGACTGAATTTCCTTGATAAATTTCTTCTATTTTATCCACAGATATTTACTGGTAACATTTCCTGGCAGCTTTTCTCATCATATCCCACTCTCATCTCAGTGTTTACCGTATATACTCGACTATAAGCCGAGCCCCCTAATTTTACCACAAAAAACTGGGAAAACGTATTGACTCGAGTATAAGCCTAGGGTGGGAAATGCAGCAGCTACTGGTAAATTTCTAATAAAATTAGATCCCAATAAAATTACATGAATTGAATATTTATTTACAGTGTGTTTATATAATGAATGCAGTGTGTGTGTATATAATGCAGTATGTGTCTATAGTGCACTGTGTTTGTGTGAATGCAGTGTGTGTATATAATGCAGTGTGTGTCTATAATGCAGTGTGTGTTTGTGTGAATGCAGTGTGTATATAATGCAGTGTGTGCATATAATGCAGTGTGTGTGAATGCAGTGTGTGTGTGTGTGTGTGTGTGTGTGTTTGTGTAGTCTGTGTAAACTGGGTGAGGGGAGGGCATTTTTATTATTTTAATAATTTTATTTTAATATTATTATTATTATTATATTTTAATATTATTATTTTATTTTAATATTATTATATTTTAATATTATTTTAATATTAATATTATTATTTTAATATTATTATTTTATTTTAATATTTTTTTTTTTATTTAATTGTTTTTTGTCCCCCCTCAATGCTTGTTGCCTGGCCAGGGAGGGGGGTTATGTTAATCGCTAGTGGTCCAGTGGATGGGCTGTGCAGTGGGGGAGCTGGCACCGTGCTGTTACTTACCTTTCCTGCAGCTCCTGTCAGCTCCCTTCTCCTCCGTGCAGCTCCCCTGTCAGCTCCGTTCTGCTTACAGTGAAAGTCTTGCGGTCTGCATGCCGCGCGGAGCGTTGCCACGGGCTCTGATGGCCACGGGTGTCGCAAGACTTACACTGTAAGCAGAACGGAGCAGACAGGGAGCTGCACGGAGGAGAAGGGAGCTGACAGGAGCTGCAGGACGGTAAGTAACAGGGCTTGTAATGAGCCTTGCGGTCCTGGTCTATATTATGGCAATTCTAGACTTCCAAATTTTGACTTTCCAGATTTAGGAATAGGCTGTCTCATCATGAGCCATTGATCTACATAACCTCCTATATGTCTGAATAGCTGAGTTCTTTAAGTCTTTGTTTTAGGTATTTGTTTTATTATGCTTAATTTTGCTCTCTTTAACTGTGCTCTAAGCTTATATAAAAAGGTACAGCTGCACTCTAGCAATCTAACACCCAGTGGTATTGTTTCCACACCATCTAAAAAGCTCATATCTATATATGTTTCTGTTGTGTGGCTACATCTTTCTCATTCAGACATGTGTGCTTCTTACTAAAAATTGTTCTATTGGTTTTTTAATGCAATACCAAAGTTTTCAGATGTTTGATATCACTATGCATGGCATGCTGTTGTGGCATTGTAGGTGTTTTTTTTGTAATTCATGCTGAGCAAAAAAAAAAAAAAAAATCTCCTTGTACAATCAGTGTTGATCAATATTTTCCTGAAGACTACATTAATCCATCAAGTCCATATTTTGAAAGGATAGATTTCTCCTTCATCAAGCATGAGTCTGATTACTTATGCTTAATTTTATGAACCTGTTTCCAAAACAAATGTCCTGTCGAGGATTGAGTGATCGTGTTGTGAGCCGCACTCTTTTGTGTATCTGGATTTAGAATGAGCGCTCAGGGATCATTAGATTTTTTTATTTTGTTTTTTTCTTGTGCAGCTGGTTTTGATTCTGAAGTTTCTATGATATTTAAATCACTCTTGACAAACATGCATAGGGTATCAGTATTGGCAAGAGGGGTTTCATGTACATGGTTTCTGTATCTCTACTTTTAGCGAAGATTGGGTTCATGACATATGTTTATACATCTCATTTATGGTTTTCTCTGTGAATGTTTTAACTTGAATAGTGAAATTATCTTCTATAATATAGAGATTCAGAGTTTAGTGATAACAGGCATTAAATCATTAAATATATATATATATATATATATATATATATATATATATATATATATATATATATATATATATATATATATATATATATATAAATATATATATATATATATATATATATATATATATGATACAAATGGTTAAAGTGTAGTCAGTTTTATATTTTCTTAAAACCTAATGTTGGTGGACTGAGACATCAATTTTCAGCAGCGATCTTTTCTTAAAAACTTTTGGACCAAAATGCATTGGAGGAAAAATATTCCTGTTGAATAATTCTTGCATTTAAGTTTTGTGGACTAAATTTCAGTCCGTTAACAATTCTCCATATATTTTAGTTTAGCAAATAAATCTCACCGCAGGAAATGCAATCCATTAATTACGTTATATTGAAGTTTGCCATTAAATAAGGTAAATGGGTCGTTAAATAATGTTGCTGTTCTTTGTGAAAAGGGTTAAAGTGTGAGTATGTTTTGCAGAGTGTATAAAATATTCTATACAGATGTAAGATAATGCCTTTGAGAAATCTGCTAATTAAAAATAACTGAGAAAATGTGTGTGAATTTTTTTTTTTGGTCCCATGAAACTTGGTTTGCTACTGAAAGCAAATATCACAATACCATATGTATGGTTAAAGTCAGTTAATCTTTTCTTCTTGTTTGTAGAGCTGGAAGAAAGATTGTTCATCTTACCATAGAGGAACAGGTGTCAGATCTCCCTAGTGCCCTTACATGCAAAGGATCCAAAGGCCTGCTGTTCAGGATGCTCTCCACCTCTCAGTGTCACACTATGTAGCCACGTTAGTATTTCTGCATTTGAAATACTAAACCGAGAAGTCTGGCTGAGCTATGCTAGGGGGTGGTGCCCTTGCACACATATGGGTTATTGCTCAAGTGTGACTTCCTTACTGAGTAAAGTGTGTCTGTAATCATAATCATCACGAGTCCCATGCTGATGGTCCAAACAGGGATTGTATCGCCATCTCATCATTCATTTGAACACCATACGGTGCTCTTCAATGCCCTTTTGTTAGTCTTGATGTTATGTTATTATAGGTAGACAGATATCCATGCTGTGTATAATTGATGTTCAGCATAGCAAAAACTCTACCTGAAAAAAAGTTTCCTTTTTGATGTCTACTAAGTCATCTTTTTCTACAGCTATCACAATGTAATTAGTTTTGTTTGTGTATCCACATACTACTATGGCATTTGTAAAAAAAAAAAAAAAAAAAACTGCTTTAAAACATTTAAAACAAATGATAATTTATATTGAAAAAGCTTTGTATATATCCTGGGTCCTCTTTTGTCCTTTTTAATGTAATAAATTGCTTATTAGTTGATAGCTTAATTTATTTTTTGTTTGTTCTATATTATATCATCAGAACCAAATATTTTTATTTTTTTTATTTTGTAATAGTTTTAGATATATTTTTTTTTTACCATTTTTTTCCATTAGCTTTATGTTTCTTAAATATTTAGTAAAACTGTTATGGCAGTAAAATGAACTTTGATTTCACCTATGAATCAGTGACACATGTAGTGCCAGCAATCTAAAGGGAGTCTATTATTATTTAATATGCAATTGTTTAATATTATTTAAATACATAATATATAATTGTAGATGCATTTTTTAATTTTAGGTTTACTTGTTAAAGGGTTAGCCTAAGTACAAAAACTACTAGGGCTGTTGTATATGACTTCTAAAACTTTATCTCCACCAACAATAAACCAATTAATACAAATATTTAAAATTTAAAAAGTGCAATTTGTCATATTTTCATATTTGTAGATATCTCTGAACAGTAAACCATCATAAGTAGAAACCAAAAAAAAATCTTATCCTACAAGCATGAGATATCCATTGCTGCTATCTGAAATCTTGGGTCAGATTAGAAAAATAAATATATAAATGGTTATGGTCTTGGACCTGGATAATCACTGACACATAGTGATGTCCCAAACGGTACGCGAACGGTTCGCCGTGGACTCATCATAGAGTAAACTTTGACCCTGTACCTCACAGTCAGCAGACACATTCCAGCCAATCAGCAGCAGACCCTCCCTCCCAGACCCTCCCACCTCCTGGACAGCTCACTAAGAATGCAGCTTCAAGATTGATGCTGTCCAGGAGGTGGGAGGGTCTGGGAGGGAGGGTCTGCTGATGATTGGCTGGAATGTGTCTGCTGACTGTGAGGTACAGGGTCAAAGTTTACTCAATGATGAGTCCGTGGCGAACTGTTCGGCGAACCGTCCGTTGCGAACCATTCGCGAACCGTTCGGGACATCACTACTGACACATAGTCTTCCAGAATACAAACAGATGCACCTGTCAGACAAACAAACATAATGTCCTCAACACCACACACACATAAATCCACAGATACACAATGTAAGACACACACATGGTCAGACATATACAATCATACTGTCAGACACACAGTCAGACATACACAGACATATTAAGACACACACTGTCAAATAGACGCATGTTCAGACACATACACAGAGTTACACACATGCAGATCCATAGATCCCTAACATCTAGACTAGACTAGAAATTAAGCGGCATAAATATATCTCCTGCTCTCCATCATCTCTGGCAGTTCTACTTTAAACTACATTTTAGACTGCAAGTGATCCTGAATGTGGCAACGCACTGTGGAAATGATAGGGCGGTGATATGCCATATTCCTAAGCCCTCCAGAAATTGCCTTGCCTGTGACCCCTCAGCTACTAGTATTACATTAACTCCATAGCCATTCTGGGATATTTAAGATAATACATCTTCCACAAGGGAGCTGTACAGTCTCGCCTCTGATAAAGAACTCAAACACTGCTGGCCACTTGATCGGGCTACTCTCTGTACTGCTTCTGCCCCCGATGTTAACCCTGAAGATATCTATAAAATGATTAATTTGGGATTTTAAATATGAATAATGTAGGACAACATGAAGCTAAAAAACAGTAGACAATGAGAAATGCAGTCCGTCTCAGAATGTACTTAAGATAACTGCATAACCTGGAAATATATATAACGGTAGAGTGTAGTCCAGACCCTGGCTTACTAATCTATAAATGCTGTTAGAAACCTATAATAAGAAAGTAGTAAAAAATAAATAAAGTATATACAAGTGGTACTGAAATTCCATGCCAACCAAGGATGTAATAGATAGGGATATCAAGATGTAACCTATACCATAGCTCCACCCTAATTATCAGCTTTATTATAATTTGCTATTGGGGTATGAGTATCCAAAAAATTAAGTCCCATACAATTGTCTTTCCTGGGAAATGTCTAGTATTCAAATATATATAACATAGGCTCAAGATAGAGCTATTGCAGATAGATAGGAAGGTAGAGGTAATTGAACAATGAAAAACCAGTCAAAAAATAGACTGATAGTTTAAATTAAATTAAAAAGCCTCTCTCCCTGTTAATCTAACTAGACAGGCATAGAACAGAAATAGAAATAAATTAAATACAGTGCAAAATCATGGTGCTACATCCACCAGTGCCCAGTGCTCATATCTATGATATGAGAAGAGAAATGCCCAATGCACGTTTTGGTGCTAAAGAGATGCACCTTCATCAGGGGCCAACTTCAAACTGATACAGAGGTCTCTTAAATACAAAATATGTGCCAGGAGAAATGAGTACCTTAACCAATGGGATCTAGGGGAGTGGATTCTCAGCTGTACGCTATGCCCTTAATGAAGATCCTGACACCGCATCGATGCGGACCTCTGGGTGTGCATAGGGGCGGATCTTCATGCCGACCACGTGACCCGACGTCAATGTGGTCTGACCGTAATGATGGCAATTCCTATAGTGGGCGAAGTCACGTCCGAAGGCGTGACCTAGTATGGAGATGTCCTCAATGGCATCTATCTATTACCCCGCCCATCGGACTCAGGTGGGTGGGTGCGCGAACGACAAGGGGACAGAACACTCCGATATTAGCCCAATAGAGTAGAACGTAAGGGCATTCTATTGCTATACACATAAGCCTGTGTGGATACCCAACAGACCACCTAGTGTGATGCATAAATTACCTATGATGTATAATTATACATCACCATCGGACTCAGGTGGGTGGGTGCGCGAACGGCAAGGGGACAGAACACTCCGATATTAGCCCAATAGAGAAGAACGTAAGGGCATTCTATTGCTATACACATAAGCCTGTGTGGATACCCAACAGACCACCTAGTGTGATGCATAAATTACCTATGATAAATTACCTATGATGTATAATTATACATCATAGGTAATTTATGCATCACACTAGGTGGTCTGTTGGGTATCCACACAGGCTTATGTGTATAGCAATAGAATTCCCTTACGTTCTTCTCTATTGGGCTAATATCGGACTGCATTTCTCATTGTCTATTGTTTTTTGTTTACTTGGGGTTAAGCCCCTTCTAGATACCTGGAGTCTCATTTCGGTACACTAGTCCCTGTGTGGCACCTGTTAATTCCCCCCCCCCCTTTCTTTTCCACTCTGGGGGCAGCGCATACAGGTGTGTACACAGAGACGTAGAACCTTGTGTTCTTTGCTTTCCTCCAACATGAAGCTACTTTCTGTTACTTTCTTTCAAATACTTTACTTATGCAGCATGAACATACAGTCTGCATATATTTGGTGGTAAAGGTTTGCGGGCTTCTCAGTAATAATGTAAATTACATTGTGTTCCATCTTGTTAACAGCTCAACTAGCAAAACGATGGAACAAAGTGTCATGAATACAATACATCTGGCAATAAAGAAATGGCAAATGTAATTTTGAATGCAAGTTCAAACTAATTGAACAGGTACAACTGTAAAACAATAAGTCTAAGGAGTTTTATTTTAATTTTTTCCTCTCTTTTCTCTTAACGGCAAGGAACAGTTCATAATTGTAAGTGTATACTTACAATTCCGTGTGCATTATTGTACCACATTCAGTGATAGACTAAATAGGTTTCCAAGTGATTCCTTTTTACACACATTCATAGGTTCACATAAATGACAATGGCTTGCAAGGAAACATAGGTGAAAAGGCCATTTCATGGTGCCATCAATTAATGAAGATAACTCATAGTGGAGGAAAAGGTCAATACAATTTATGGACCTTTGTATTTACTGAAATGTTGTCTGGAGCTAAAATGTGCTTAATGATCTGTTATGAGCTGAGCTCTGTATGCTATTAACAGAGCACTATACATTGACAGTCACCATGTAATATATAAGTGATTATAATAAAAATCATTATACGTTTTAACCTTGACTCTGACCATGAACTTTAGTATCTTTTGCATAGAATGAATATATTACTATGGCAAATAATTCCATGACAGCTACATTGTAAACCAATATTTGTCTGAAATGTATACATTTCAACATCCCAAATGGTTTGGACTACATCACCCCTGATGCTTTGCCATCATTATGGCTGTAAGTGCATTATGGGAGATGTAGTCCACAACCACTGGAGTACAAAAGGTTCCCTACCCCTCCACTAGAGTATTGATATGCACAGATCCTTGTGCTGCTCTCTGGGGATTCATCGCACCATCATGTAAGCATCAGAAAAACAAAACTATATATTTTATTCAAATAGCTATATAATCTCTGAGCATTTCGAAATGCAAGACATATAAAATCCCAAAGCCAAGCTCAGAATATGAATTTTAGAAAATGTTCTTGCTTATCAAGTGGTATGGCTATATAAAAATCTCTTATTCTTTATTTATTTCAGTGCATTAAAGAATCTAAGTATCTATGTTTAAAGCGGCAACCAACAGCTTATCTGCGTGATGGAATATGTATGTAGTTCTGCATTTTTTAAGCCAAAATCAAATGAAAAATATTTCTCTGTTTAAAATGTGTAATCTATGGGCTGAATTCAATTACAAAAACTGAAAATGTTAAAACCCAAAACACAATGACCACTTCATTGATTTGAAGCTTTCATGGCACCTGGAGTCTGTATATGCAGCACATATGGAGTTTAACCAAAAACACCATGAACACTTTATTGATTTGATGTTTTCATGGCACCTGGAGTCTGTATATGTAGCACCCATGGAATTTAACCCAAAACATCATGACCACTTTATTGATTTGATGTTTTCATGGCACCTGTGGTCTGTATATGCAGCACATATGGAATTTAACCCAAAACACCATGAACACGTTATTGATTTGATGTTTTCATGGCACCTGGAGTCTGTATATGCAGCACATATGGAGTTTAACCCCTTTGATACTGGAGGTGTAAATCCAGCTTTGCAAAGACAAGCCAACTCTCCCACCATGTTGGAGCTCAGCCAGAAACCAGAGCAGGCTGATGCATGGGAGAGAGATAGGTGCACATGATTTCATAGATTATGTACTTGCATTAACTATATTGTACCCACAAAATACCAAAAGCAGGCGCACACATTACATATCTTGTGGGCACAATCTACTAATTGATGTGCATGAGATACTACAGTGTGCACACAATTTAAATACAAAATAAAATGTCCCCGCCACCTCTGGAGCTCTGTAGAAATCTGTCCGTTTTTAGTTAAAATAAATCTGTTAATTTTGCATTAAAAGGACACTATAGTGACCAAAACAGCATTAGCTTAATGAAGCAGTTTTTGTGTATAGCTCATGCCTCTGCAGTCTCACTACTCAATTATCTGCCATTTAGGAATTAAATTACTTTGCAATGCTAGGCACACCTCCCTGCATGTGACTTACACATACTTCCTAAGCACTTTCTGTCAAGAGTCATCTAATGTTTACACTTCCTTGTTGCATGTTTTGTTTAAACAAGAATTTCTTATCTCCTGCTCTGCTAATTGCATGCTAGAACCTGCAGGAACCTCTTGAATGTTATTAAAGCGATATTTACAGAGCATGAGATACAAACTTTTAAAGTAAGTTACATTTGATTGAAAATGAAACAGTTTTGTTTATATGTAGGCTGTGTCAGTCATAGAAAGGGGAGGTGTGGCCAGGGCTGCATAAACAGAAACAAAATTGATTTTACTCCTAAATGGTAGTGACTAGAGCAGTGAAATTTCAGATGCATGATCAATATGTAAAAATTGCTTCAGTAAGCTAAAGTTGTTTTGGTTACTATAGCGTCCCTTTAATATAAAATGTGGAAAAACTAAAATAAAAAGTAATTTATATGTGTGTGTGTGTGTGT